GAAGTAGCCGTAGAGGGCGTGCATGATGGTGTTTGTCGACGCGTGGCGCCCATTAACCTCCTGCTGGATGCTTGCCATCGTCTTCGATTGCCGTCCGATGACTGTCGTGGGGCGATTGACGACTTCTGATTGGCTAAATATTGCTCGAATCGATTCAATATCGTTGTACAAAAGCAATTCGATTTAGGCCATTCTCACAAATTCGAATGAAACTCACAATATTAATCGATATTTAATTATGAACAATTGCGCTTTACATAAACTGGGATATAAATCCCACGCCGAGCGAAGGGAGGCAAAGAAAGTTCTTGCTCGGCTTCAACCTGCGTAAAGAGCCCCGCTTGCGAGGCTCCGCTCAGCTTGTGCCGGTATAGTAAGAATATGCGAACTAACATACAGTGTCCTAAGGCAGGCCATTATGTTGTGTTTTATAGGTCTTAATTGTAAGGTTGTCTCAATCACAGCCTCCAGACCTACATGAAATACTTTTTGCAGTATCTGCGCGCGCTAATCATGATACCGTCAGTCGTTATATTTTTTTCGTTTTTGTCCTTTCCTATGTCAAGCCCTACTAGATGGCATACTTGTTAGGGGAAAAAAAATCAAAGCGCGAGAACTCACATGTATATACTCTAATTTTGGTTCATTATTGTGTCCTAATCGATACTTCATGTCCATATGCGTTCATCTCGCATTATATTGTGGTCACACTGATCTTGATGTTTCAAGTTCCATCGCCCTCATAGTGTCTGTTAGCTGTACGCCTGGACTTGTGGGTTCGTATCTGTAATTGACGGTGTTGGGTACTAGGCGTACAGGGGGAATAAAAAGCGTTCTCGATGTCACTGCTGCAAGTGCTGCCGCCGCTGTCTCTCCCGTACATGACGTTGGTGTATCGAAGTCAAAACCGGGGTGTTCTAAATAACGGTGGTGCTTACTACCACCTCCGACATCTATTGCAGGGTGAGGCAGAGGCCAGTCATCGATAATGTGCCGGATCGACTGCTCATTGCGAGACTGAAAGCGGGTTAACAGCTTCCGTGCCGAATCCATCGAGATGTCCGGTAGCTTTCGCAACGCCGCGGCCTCCACCAACCGCATCAACTCATCGAATGTCATCAGCACACCCAGCTCGGCACGAGCCACGACGACGCGCATGATCCCAGCCTCGTCACTTGGGTGGAAATATTCATTGGTGCCTTTTGTTTGCTCACTTTGTGCACGCTTCTTAACACGCCGATGTAGCGCCGCGAAGTGAACACCGTATAACTTGGCGGCTGCGCGCAGACTCATCCCCTGGTGTTCTACCGCCGCAATGGCTTTCGACCACGTCTCGGCCGGTACAGTGTGGCTCAGCTTGTAACCGCGATTGTCGTTAGACGGCGACGCGTTGGACGCCGTGTCCTGCATCTCTTCCACACTGCTCCCGTTGTTGCTGACTGCGTATTGAATCCGGGGAAGCATCGAG